GAGGGGGGGGGCTGTTTTGGAAATCCAGGGTCTTTGCGTGAAGGCCTTGGTTCCGAGGGTCTTTGGAGGGCTAGGGTATACATATACATATACATATACATATGCATATACATAAACATATACATATACATATACATATACATATACATATACATATACATACCCAGACAATCCAACGCCGCCCTGCGGGCATCAATGCGTACAGATGAAATGGTCCGTATATGAACGCTGTCGTATGTGCGTATAGCGCCTTCATATCCTCAGATGTCTGTAGATGATACAGATGTTGGTAACATGAAATCTACAAGAAGAAGCAAGGACTAATCGGTTTTCTTGCCATGACGGTAGAGTTTTCCTGGTGACGTGTTGCTTGTGTCAGGAACATGGCTTGCATGGCTTGCTTCGGTACCACGCCATGCTACAGTTCTGATATATATATATATATATATGTGCCCGATACCTTTAGGGTCTATATAACCGCGGTTTGTTGTCTTCAGCACATAATGGAAAGCAAAATATAGGGTATAAGCAAAGCCCACATTACAAAGCCACGACCTGAAAAGTTTCGGATCGACTAGGCTATATTTTTTCTATCAAATAATTATAGCAAATTATTCGCATTCAGGGAGACGAGTATTATATAAACAGAACATCGAGTGTTGATCCCAACACTGTCGATGAATAAACATTCGTTGTGATGACACATTTCAGTGTATAGAGTCCATATATCTTCCAGGAATGATGTATCGTCGTGGAGATATGCATAGCACTGTCAGCAGTATATCGGCAACACGGACAAATTGTCCTGTCCCAATATTTCACAATTCGACTTATTGTTGACTTGCCAGCGTTTGAGTAATTGCATACGACATTTCCACCCAAGAATCATGTAATAAGCATGCACGCTGTAATATGGCATAAATTTGTTTGTAATTTCCGCACAGGCCAGAATCCAAAACCTGACAGGCTCGGTACTCATGAAACGGATGTGTTCATATGACAATTTATGGGAATACATACGGCATGACACATCCATATCACATGATGCTGTCGCAACACGTACTACAACTCGTTGCCTGTTATATTCTGTTGTTACATATGCTACATATATCTACTGAGGCAAGCCAGGTCTGAACAAACTAGTTCCTTGTCAATAGGGTTTCAATATGAGGAGTGCATGTAATGTATTGGTTCGCCCTGTCCAGGAAGTGAAGAGAAACATTATAGCCCCTGCAATGTGCCAGTTTCTTCTGTCCGTAAAAAGGGCTTTCCGATGTATCAGCTTCATATCAAGAGGGCTTCAGTAGGATGAGTGGGCGTGACAGGTCAAAGGCTTGTAATGTGTTCGTTTGTTCTGTCTGGGGGCTTTCGAATGTATAAGTTCCTCGCCAAAAGAGTTTCGATAGGCGGGAGTGGAGTGACACATTAGAGAGTCTATATTGTGTCAATTTGTTCTGCCCAGGGGCCTTCCAATATACAGGGTCGCTTCAGTGTATAAGTTCCTTGTCAATAGGTTTCCATGGGGAATGGAGTAACACATTAGAGGGTCTGTAATGTGTCAGGTCGCTGTGTCCAGGAGCTTTCCAAAGTAGGATTTTCCTTGTCAATATACTTTCAATAGAAGGGATGAAGTGACACAGTAGAGGGCTTGTAATGTGTTAATTCGTTATGCCCAAGTCAATAGAGTTTGAACAGGGGAAGTGGAGTAACACTTTACAGGGCATGTAATGTGCCAATCTGTTATGTCCTGGACTTTCCAGTGTATAAGTTCCTTGTCAGTAAAGGGTCAATCGGAGTGGGTGGAGTGACACATTAGGGTGCCTGTAATATGTCAATTTGATATGCCCAGGTACAGGGGCCTGACAGTGTATAAGTTCCTTGTTAGTAGGGTTTCAGTAGAGAAATGGAGTGACACATTAGAGGGCATGTAATATGTCAATTTGCCCAGTCCAGGACCCAGGAAGTGAAGATACACATTATAGTGGGTTTAATGTGCCAGTTTGTTATGTCCATAAAAAGTGCTTTCCGATGTATCAATTTCTTATCAATAGGGTTTCAATAGGATAGGTGGAGCGACACATTATAGGGCCTGCAGTGTGTCAGTTTATTATGTCCAGGGGTTTTCTAGTGGAAAAGTTCCATTGCAATAGAGGTTCCATAGGAAGGAGTGGAGTGACACATTAGAGGGCCTGTAATGCGTCAATTTATACTACCCAGAGACCTTCCGATGTACAGATGCCCTACAGTGTATAAGTTCCTTGCCTTTAGGGTTTCAATAGGAATAATGACACATTAGAAGGCCTGTACTGTGTCAGTTTGTTTTCCCATGTGCCTTCCAATGTATCTCTATACATATCAGATCTGTTGTGATCACAGCATTAGCCAAGAAGGATATCACGTAGTTAATAGTCTTCACGATCTTAACAAAGGCGCAATTATCCGTATCGAAGGTATACATTCCCATGAAAAAATCCAATAGATCCCTTCACAGATCCCTTGTATGGAGCCCTCATAGACAGCCCTTATAGATTCGTATAGAAACTTTATAGATCCCCTATATAGAGAACTTGTAGAAACCCCGTATAGATCAACAACTGGAGTTCTTTGTAGAAAACTTTGCAAGATCCCTTACATGGAGCTTTCATAGACAATTGCTATATATTCCTTACCCTTTGTAGAAACCACATGGAAGCCCTGTATAGATCCCTCGTATGGAGCCCTTCTGGAAAACCCTTACAGGCTGCTTATAGAAATCTTATAGATCCTCTATGTAGAGACCTTATAGAAACCCATTATATAAAAAACTATAGATCCCTTACAGAGAGACTTTCTAGAAACCCATTATGGATCCCTCATATGGGGCCTTTATAGTAAGCCCGGTTACAAAGTATGTAGATGCGATGTGGTAAGCTATTCTTGATATAGTAGTTAAGATAAATCGATTGTATAATGGTTCGTACAATACCTATGAAATTACTTTTAATAATAGAAGGAGCAGTATTAAAACCAATGAAACCGGCAACGAAGATGATGACGATGATGAAGATGATGAAAATGATGGAGATGATGAAGCTCCTCGGTCCAAGGACGTGTGCCCGGGGTCTCTTTTCTTTGCTGTTGGGGCCCCTTTCGCGGTTGTGTGTTAGGGTCCATTTGGTGAAATTACATGAGCGATGGGGATGCCAGTGACGCACTGCCTGCAGATTCGGACTGCGAAGAAGTGGATCGGACTCCACATGATGGTGGTCGCAATGGGCCTGCTCCTGTTGCTCCACCTAAGGGGCCACCGCCCCCCAGGCCGGTCAATTTACCACCAGGAGCAGCTTGGCCACCAGTCCGTGACGACAACCCTGCCGACAACAGTGATCAAGCAGTTGCACCACCGCAGGGGCGAAGACCCTTGGGACATGATTGTGCTCCGGCCTCACCGGTTCAGGGGCCCTTACTGCCGGATGGTTCGTTTTCCCGGGAGCTCAGCGAGAGCTCCGACTCTTCCGACAGCAGCAGTTCCGACCACTCCATGGCTCCATCAAGTCAAGGAAGCTACACGTGGAGTGACACCTCCTTGGTCCCCGAAGGACCGGTTATGCAGCATGCGATGGATTTTCTCCTTACTTTATTCAGAAGACAAGCCCTGGAAGACAATCCAGACATTCCGGCCCGCTCGTTGGGCGGACAGCTTGGGGCAATGCGACGGCGGCTCACCAACTGGTTGGCTGTGCAAGAAACTGCGAGGACCAGACTCCGCGGTGCTTATTATGTGGAATGGCAGTCATACGAGCACCAGGCCACGCATGACTGGAGACGCCGCAGACCGGCCGAGGATCCAGCTGAGTGAAGGACTGTACTCACCTTATAGGTCCCGTAGTCTGCGAGCCGCCCGGTTCCAACGACCGGCGCACCTCCACCCCTTAGGACCTTCCCGCAAACCTCGTAAGTACCCTAAGGCTACCAACCAGATCCGCAGGACCTCCCCAAGGGAAGCAGATGCAGGGCTACATCGAGTGCGGCAGCCGGCTGCAGGAGAAACCCGGCGATCCCCCAAAAGCCACATACATCGTAGTACTTTTCACAACCAACACCATAAGATTAAGACCCTTAGAACTGAGCACGCTGCTCCCCTGGACCGACCCGGTCCCAAGTCCGGGTTATATCTCCATCGTCTCTTGCTACTTAGAAGCATTTTGGGGATAGAAGGAGCGAGGGTTCCTCCTGCTCCCGCAGCAGGAGGGGGACCCGAAGCATTGCGGACAGGCGCACGCAAGAGCGCCAGCACCGTACAGTCTCATTGGAGCCAAACGTGCATACCGACGAGCCAGGCTCAGAGCGGCCACGGCAGAAACAGGTGGCACATGGTACAAAGGACAATGGCACACCTCCCAAACTCTAGGTACCCTTCCTCTGCCTCGAATCCTCCCTCGCAGGAGGTCGGAGCGACGACAGCCTGCTGTGTCGGGCTCCAGAAGGCTGGGGGTGCTCACCTGGAATGCTGGGGGTCTCGCATCCTCGTTGTACCAAGAGTTTATGGTCTGGAGTGATCAACAGCCTTCCCTTGATGTCATTGTAGTCCAAGAATCCCACTGGGCCTACACAAGCGACTTCATCACAGGCAAGTGGATAGCAGTTCACACTGCAGGCAGCTCGAAGCCCAGTGACTACTCCAGATTCGGGGGTATACTGGTTCTACTAAATCAACGTACCTTCAAAGACCCTAGTATAAAGGAGCTTATCCCAGGGCGACTTCTCTTGATCCAAACTGCCTTCAAACACAGTGGTCTGCCGTATGCAGTGATTGGGGTTTATCAGCATGTGTGGCGGAGCCAACTCTCTACGGCTGAGAACCGGGCGCTCAGGCAACAGACTTGGCAACTGCTTGAGGAAACCCTAACATGCTTCCCCAAAGGTGCGAACTCGTTCTGTGTGGCGACTTTAACTCCAGCCTGCAACCCTGCCCACCGGTGGTGGGGCAGGCCATTGTGCAAAACTCCACCACGCACGACATGGAGCTACAGGACCTTCTATCCAGGCATGCCCTTACCGTCTTGAACTCCTGGCATGACCCCACACCAGCTACGTACCACGGCCCCACAGGTGACACCCAAATCGACTTCATTGCCACGAGGCACCGTACTGCAGGAGGCCGGGCAAAGTGGGCCCGTGCTATCACAGGGTTTCCGATAGGGGCGCATAGGCTTTCGGGTCACTACCCAGTGTATGCTCAGCTCCCCGTGCTGCCGTTCTACTTGTCTCAGCCTCATCAATCCACCGCTTCCAGCTATGACAAGCTGGCACTGCAGCAAGCCTTCAGAGAGCAGTCCCCTCGCGCCGAGGTCCTGCGACAACGTGTCGCGGACCGCCTGCATGAGATCCCCACCGAGGATCTGCTGCAAATGCAAAAGCAAGTCAATCATATGCTCCTGCAGGAGACCGCCTCGGTCTTCCCTGCTCGCAAAGCTCGCAAAGCAGCCGACACCCGCATCAGTGCGGACCCTGAGTTTCAAATCTCAGCCCGTCGCACTTGGCAGCTTTACCGATTGGCTAAGAAAGCATGTGTTTGCACCCTCCAAGGCATTTGGAGGCAGTGGCACCGTGTGGCCCAGTTTGCCAAAGCCTCATCTCAACTCAGACTGCAAAGCAAACAAATCAAGCGTGCCCAGATGTTAGCACTTGTGGATACGGCCGAGACTGCTGCAGCCAAGGGAGATCAGCGAGTGCTTTATGAGGTGGTCCGCAGACTCACGCCAAAAACTCAGCTTCGCTTCTCCAGGCTTAAATCGCATGACGGCCGGTTGCTTGCCTCACAGGAGCAGATTGGGGCCATCCAGGACCATGGCAAGGAAACCTTCGCATCCCAAATGGACGAACAGCCGCCTTCTCACCTTCCGGCAGACTTTGAAGTGGACGTTGCAACAGTGAGCCACGAACTCTCTAGGCTTGGAGCGGGCAAAGCAGTGCCAAAACACGTGGCTCCTGCCTCAGCGTGGCGGATCTGTGCAGCCCTCCTGAGCCCCATCATAGGCCACGGTATCCGAACCCACTTTAAACAGGGAGCCCCGGGTAAACTTGAGGCCGACTGGCGAGACACACATGTGGTTTGGCTCGCTAAGCCCAATAAACCCCCCGTGGCGGTTTCTAACATGCGACTTATTGGCCTGCAATGCTCCACCAGTAAGCTTCTAGCGGGTCTCCTCCGATCCCAGCTGATTCAACATCTGTATCCACTTCTCCAGCACTTACCCCAGTTTGCCTTTACGAAAGCCCGGGGCACAGCAGATGCGCTCCTTCGAGCGCACTCGCATTTTGTTGAGGTGAGCACCATCCTTCAGCAAGCCAGGGTGAACCGATTCCAGCTCCAGGCCGGGAAATCTCAGCAGCCATGCACAGGAGGGATCTGCCTTTCGTTGGACTTGTCCCGGGCTTTTGATGGAGCTAACCGTCCTTGTATATACGAAGCCCTCAGAACCCACGGAGTCCCGCCTACAATCATCCACATCGTTCAAGCTCTTCACTTTGAAGCTCGCTACCATTACCGAGTGGGGGATGCCACGGGATTCACCACCACTTCGAACGGCATCAAACAAGGGTGTGTCATTGCCCTGCTGCTCTGGTCATACTACACGGTGACCTTCATGCTCCTCCTGCGGGAGCGTCGCAGCCCCCAATGGCTGGAGAGAATCCTTACATTGTTTGCTGATGACTGCTGGGGAGACTGGACAATCTCAAACGAACAGGAGTTTTTAGCTGCCATTGCTGATTTGCAACTCATCTTCGAAACCTTGGAATCCCTGCATATGACCATCAACTATCACAAGACGGCAATCTTGCTCCGACTTGTTGGCCGGGATGCTAGCAGAATACGTCGAGCTGCCACCTTCATGCGGGGGGGTACCCTGCACCTGCGAGTCATGGTACATGGTAGGGAGTGCGGTGTGCCGATCCGACAAGACCACGAATACCTTGGGTCCATCGTGTCTTACCACCGTCGCATTGAGAAGAATACGGCCCACAGGCTCAAGGCATGCCAAACCAGATACCAAGGCCTTCGCAGGACCCTGAATGGTTCACACCATCTCACACAGGGACACCGACTTAGGCTCTGGCAGGCATGCGTGTGTTCTAGTGCTTTCTACTCACTTCCGGTCACTGGGTTAAATCATGCAGCGCTTCGAAAAATCACTAGCACCCTCACTCGTCATCTCAGGGCGATCCTGAAACTGCCTGCCCACCTCACCCATGTAAATACTGCCACGGTGTGGGAACGTGCGGGTCTTGATCAGCCAGGCACTGTTCTCCAACGTACCCTACAGCACTTCAAGGACAGACTTCAGTCACAGGCCGCAGCGACCCCAAATATCACCACCACCGCCGTAGTCTTTGCCAGGCTGACCGCGCTCCAGTCCGGCCTTGACGAAGCCCAGCAGCAAGAGGCCCAGCACATCAGCCAAGAGCCAGCTACACCAGCACTGGTCAGCTGTCCCAGCTGTGATGCTACCTTTGTGAGCGAAAATGCGATGAGGATCCATGCCAAGCTGGCACACAAAATTCTTCCGGTGCACTCTACGAGGACACCCACGCTTTTTCAGCCACACCTGCATGCTGTTGCGGGGATGCCGCAGTGCCGACTCTGCAATCGACAGTTCTTTCGATGGTGCCACCTTAAATTTCACATAGAAGGGGGTTCATGTGCTAAGTTAGGGGGCGATACTCTTGTCCGTTCGCCGCTTGACTCCTCGCAGGCAGCCGCTGCTGTTGCCACCCCTCCGACGGCACAAACAGACCTCTTCGAAGGACAAAAAGTCGAACATTTGCCGCTGATCATGAGAGACACTTTCATTCGGAAGCTTGATCACTGGGAGCAGTGGCTTACTGTTGCGCCACTGATGAAGGAGCTTCAAAACCACTGTTCAATCTGCCACCAGTGGATCGCGGACTTCAGACATGTGCGACAGCATATTCATAAAGTGCACAAGGAAGCATACGGTCACCTGTTTGAACAAGCCACCGAATTGTGTAAGCCCTTTAAGTCACACCTCAGTAGGGATAAGACCTGCCTCTTCTGTAGACACAAAGTAGGAGCCCCGGGTAGACACGTCACTCAGTGTGTTCCGCTTTTCCAGCTTGTGGTAGCAGTGCTGGTGTGCCGTGAGCAGCACCACACCCAACATGTGGGGGGATCATCCTCATCAGCTGGAGGAATTGGGCCCACTCGAATCGGACATATTCGCTCACTGCTACAACGTGGGGCCGGTGCCAAGCATGATGTCGCACCGGGCGACAAAGCGGCAGCGACCAGAACAGCACCCGTTTCAGAACCGATTCTCCTCTTTCCCTCCCAGGGGAGGAGGGCCACCGCAGCAGATGCAGCAGATGTATCAGGTACCTCAGGAGAGAGACCCCATCAGGCTGATGAGCCGCATCATCTTGCAGCAGGAAGAAACTATATGTCATCTTCGCAACGAGAAGTGCTTCATTATGTTTCTTCGGCACGATCAGGAAGGGATCTTGCAACAGTTAATGGCAGTGTCCAAAGAGTGGAACGAGAAGAAAGAGAAGACACCGGATCAGCTCACCTCCCCGCTCCGAACCCTGCTATTGCAGTCGATGCTTCAGGAACTTCTCAACCGTGCCCAGAAGGAAGTTGCGACTCCGGAAGGACGGGCGGCCTTGGTGAGCCGGTGATGGCTCACACAGGAGCACCATTGGTCATACCTCCGTTGGGACCGTCAGGCGAAGCAGCTCACTCAGGACAACCGGCCACCCATCCAGCATGCCGACCTGGTCAGACTGCTCACCTGGATGCTGAAGGAGCTCCGGGGGGACATCATACAGACTTTCAAGTCGATGCCTTCCCTCCAAAAGATCAATACCCAGACCGTGCAGTCGTCAACCTTCAAGCTCGAGATCTCGCTGAGGGGTCAAACCTCACTGGAGATGCACGAAGCCTTTGCCAAGCTGGCAGCATGTTCGGTGACTCATCTTGTCGGGATCTCCCTCAAGCGGGACAGCCTCCCGCAGTCCCACTTGGCGCGACAGCTCGCTGACATCACATTCCGCCGTCGCTGATGTCACCAGCACCTCAGGAGCAGCCTGAATCAATCATCGATGCGGACCCTCCCATCATGCCTGACACTGCCACCGCCTTCAGGACCGCCGCTGTGGGAGACACTGAAGCTACCAACTCGGCCGCCCCCCTAGTCGGGCCCATGCTAAAAGGTGGCAATAATCAGTGTTACATCAACGCCTTCCTGCGCAGTGTTCTGTATGCAGCTACAGTCACTGCCCAACTGCATCGTATGCCAGCAACTCTCAGGGATCACACAAGGCCGGCCCAATGGGCCGAGCGCTTGTTGGGGTTCGGGCTCCTGGGATGGTCGGCGCCTCATAGACAGCATGACGCTGCAGAGTTTCTAGACTTCATGCACCCTAAGTTGGCCAATGCCATAAACCCAGGATACTGGGAGTCGCGATCGGATACCGACCAAGGTTTCCAGTGCATGCCTCAGGGAAGGGTCACTCAATGCCTTCGTTTAGCTCTCCGAGCCGAAACTTCCGCCGAAGCTATCGACCTTCAGGTTTTGATCAATGACTGGCACCACGGGGACCATGCACAGGCATTTGTCACCGGGCCTTGCTGGTTGTGCTTGCAGCTCCCTCGCTTTGTCTACCTTGCCCCTGGTTGGTCTAAGAAGCGGCAACATCCCTACTTAATCCCCCATAAGGTTCGGATTCCCTGCTTCATAAGTCCTGACTCCCTGCATGTTCGATGGCAAACATACAGCGCCATAGCATTCATCCAGCATCATGGGCCCCAACCCACAGCAGGCCACTACACGACGGTCCTTCGCCGGGACTCAGAGCTCTGGCTGTACGACGATGCAAAAAGTCCGACGTTGCTCACTCCGCATCAGCGTGAGCATCTCAGTACCAATATGTACCTTGTGATTGTTGCACTGCTGGACCAAAGCCCGACTAGCGATAGACCATCAGGTAGTGTACAAGCCTCGTCCAATGCCGCTGAAGATTCGGGAGGACTCATCGCAACCATTCCTCAATCAAGACGACTTGAACTGGATAGTGTCACAGATGTACCTGCGCAGGGTCCAGATAGAGGCTTTGGCAGTCGATATGCAGTCCATCCAACAGGCTCTCAGCAAGTTGATCGACAAAGTCCACATCATGGAAGCCCAGTGGTCCACCTTGAGGAAGGTGGCTCACAACAAGCTGCACGGATGCAATGACGATCAACCTCATGAGCCTACCTCCTTCTTGCACAGATTGGACGATTGAAGTCACTAATCTCCTGTGGGCTACGGCTCTCACAAGCCTGGAAGCGCCAGAGACTCTGGGAGCTTTTCGACAATGGACAGAGGAGAACAACTGCGTTCCTAAGGGAATCGTAGGAGATCAAGCATTTTTCACGCCACAGTTCATGTCCTATTATAAGTTCCATGGCATTACTCCATATCCATGTGGACCGCGAACTCCTTGGCCGAATCGAGCTGAGACCGCAGTGCGTCTTTTCAAGCGCACATGGGCCATCATGGCCAAGGCCTTAGCTGATGAAGGTTATGCAAAGAAAGTTACTGTTCGTCAAGCAGTCAAGAAGGTGGCATGGGCAAGGAATTGCCAGCTTACCGTCTCAGGCTACTCTCCTCTGGAGATAGCCACAGGAAGGCGACCACTTGATTTGTTTGACGTGGAGAACAGTTCTCCTGAACAGCTCTCTGCTGATCCTGCTGAGGAGGATCGAACCACTCTGGAACTCCAGAGAATTGCCATGAGAGCTCATCAAGAAGCCAGACAGTCGCTTGATCTTCGAAAGGACCTGGCGCGCAGAGTGATGCCGTCCGATGGTCCATATTCGAAGGGTGATCGCGTGTTTGTTTGGCATAAGGATGAGTCTAAGAAGAAGTCTGAAGGAACCTGGGTCAGAGGGATAGTTGTGTCACAGGAAGGTGCCATGGTGTTGGTTGAGATTCATCGTGCCGTTCTTCGGGTTAATCAGTCAAAGGTCAGGCGTGATGGAGATCCATGGCATGATGTGGCTATTCCTTTGAAGAAAGATGAGGTACCGAGACGCTCTTCTCAAGAAGAGGCACTCGACCGCATCGGCGACGATCTTCTTGATCGTGCTGGTTCTGGGTTCTGCTATGAGCATGAGATCTGTTACCACACTCTCACTTCAGGTAAGAGCGATTTCGTTGAGATCACACCTCGCCTCACCGGGCTTACTGCGTGCACTGCCCATTCTGGACTTGATGCGAGTGAACCTGCGTTGTTTGGTGAATGGAATGCCAAGTCTATCCAATCTTCGATTGAGCATGCTTGGCAAGTGATCTTGAAGGCATAGCCGAATCACATTTTTATTCATCCTGTCATTCCTGACGGCTGGCCCAGGAAGGCCGCAAATGCCTTCTGGCACTTTTGTGCAGAAGTCTGCCGTTGGCAAGATGACAAGGGTGATGGATACTTCGTGACCATCATGTTTCCTTCACATTGTGGTTTTTGGCTTTCGCAGAGTAGTCGCTCGCTGAAGTGGAGAAGAGGGCTTTCATTCCTCACCTTCAAGAACCGCGGTATACTTCCTTCTGGGGGAGAAGACCACGGTAACCATCAGCATGGTGAGCTTTCCTTTCTCACCAATTTGCCTGAGAGATCATTTGGCCGTTTGGAGTCGTTGGAAGAAGGTTATGACTCTGATCGTGCACTTGATCCAAGGTTTGCTGTGCTGCTTTCGCAGTGTCTTGTGGGTGATGGACGATCAGATCTCCGACAATCTCACTTGTTCGAGGATATCTTTGAGGATTTTGATGATGGAACACTGTGTGCGTTGTGTTTGCGATCAAACCGCAATTCTGAGGCCTTGCCGGTACTTCCGTCAGAAGCAGAGTATTCATTGCTCTCCAACAATGACAAAGGGAAGCTTCCGCAGCCTCTTGGGTTTGTTGTGCCACAGCGTTTTGTCACATCGTCTTTAGTCCAAACTCTGTCTTACGTTGACAGTCTCCTTCCGGGTACTGAGTTGGAAGTTCACACGACCACATCATCCGAGGCAGTCGCTCTGCGGCCCATGATCAAGAATGTGCGAGTGTTGACTCTACCGTATCTGGAATTCGAGTACTGTAACGTCTACAGGGGGACTCAAGGGAAGACACTTCCTTTGGTTCATCGTCATCCGGATGCTGTTGTCATTTTGTGGCAGAAGGGTGATATGGATCATGTCTTCTTTGTGACGATGGCACAGTTGCTTCCTTGCCTTGAGGATATGCAACCTACTCATTGGTCCATGATAGTGTTCTGGAATGAGTCACAGAACAATAGTTCCAGACGTGGGCCTGATGTTGGTTTGGACTTCACGGACCAGCCAGCACCGGCCCCGGTTGCGCCGCAACCACCGGCCAATGACGACGACGTGGACTATCCAGGATACGATGATCCGCATGGTGATATGCCTGTGGATGACGAGGATATGCCACTACTGCATCCGCAGCAGGATTTGGACGATAATCCTGTTGAGTTGCAAGTCGGTGGTGACCCTCCGTCACAACCTCCAGGAGGCGGTGCTCATGTACCGGTACCAGAGGGAGATGATGATCCAGACCTGGATCACGATCCGGACGGTGGTGGCCATCCGCCAGGAGGCGGTCCTCAGGGACCGGGACCTGGCTATGGTCCTTCACCGGACGAGCCTCCTATTCCGATGGAGTTTCACGAGGAGTCGCCTCCTCCTGGAGGTCCTCCCGACTCTCCTGCGGCTCCGCCACAGTTTGCGAACCCGGATTAGGTTCTCAGTCCACCGATGCCTTGGCCGGCACCACCTTCACCTATTATTCCTGTTCCAATTCCGCCGCATCCTCACTTTCCGGTACCACAGAGTATGAGACCGCCGTCTCCTCGCAATGTGTCGCAGACACGTGCCAGAGGAGCAGATCCTGATGATGTGTCAAAGGCAAAGTCACGTACTGTTGTGGGACCTCCGGTTGTGTTGTTGCCTGGTCAGTCTGCGGGAAAGAAGGATCCCGATCCGTCGGGTGACTTTCCGGGTTCTTATGAACTTGCTTCCTCTTCTTCTGATCCGGCTCCTGTTCCTGGTTTGCCGGTGACTGAGGGGGAATTTTCTATCCAGCAAACTCCACTCCCGGAACCCACCCCGGAACCGCCGGTGCCGGAAGCTGGTGAGGATACCGATTCGGATGCAACGGTTGACTATCGTGATGAGAGTTTGCTTGCCTTGGCTGTTGGCGACGACGACATGTTAATTCGCCTTCCGTCGGACTTCAAGGTTCCGTCCTTTGTTCCGTTGGATGGTGATGGTTTTGCGTCGTGGTTGACTAAACAAGACAAGATCAAGGCTGGTACCCTCACGCCGGAGATGCAGCGCAAGTATGCCGCCGAGATTCGACAGGCTAAGCTTGAGGAGTTCAAGAGTTACTTGGACAACGATGCTATTCGGCTGACGGACCGCCGCAAGCTTAAAAGCGATGTCAATTTTCTTACCGGACGCTGGGTCCTGACGGTGAAGGTTGATAAGAACGGTTACTTTTCCAAGTTCAAAGCCCGCTGGGTCTGTCGTGGATTTCAGGACAAGTTTGCCTGGGATCAACAAACGGACAGCCCTACGGCTACTCGGTATGGTTTCCGTTTGGTTGCGCAGTGCGCTGCCAATCACTATTGGGATTTTTTTCATTTGGATCTTAAGACCGCTTTCCTTCAGGGGGAACACTGCAATCTGTCATCTCGCATGGTTGTGGTTCAGTTGCCCCCTGACATCGGTTTGCCTACCTGGATGGTCGGCCTTTGTCTCAGACCGGTTTATGGTCTGAACGATGCACCGAGAAGATGGTGGAATCGTTTGGACAAATTCCTCAGGTCTGCAGGCATGGAACCGACCAGAGCTGACCGATGCACTTATGTCGCATACGACGGCATCGAAGGCAAGAAGGGAAAAAGCCACCTTGCGGCAGGAAGCTCCTCTCAGGAGGAGGAACCTGAAGCAGGAAGCACCTCTCTAGAGGTGGAACCTGCCTACCTCAAGGAGGTTGCCCTTCATGCCATGTCATGCT